AGATGTCCCAGGAGAGAACCCTGAGTCCAGAGATATTTGAGCCCAGGGCTCCCGCCTGGTCGATAGATCATGTAAGGGGAGTACAAGATCAGGTGGTTCTCGAGAGCTCCCCGTGCTAAAGGAAGAAAGGGGAAGAAGGGATGGATGGGGGGTTTCTTCAGAAAACTAAGATAAGGGAGTACTTTTTGCGAGGCTACTTATAGTGAGTTTGGATTAATCTGATTGGCTAACTAATGACTGTAGACTAGGGGTTCCCAAACTTTTCAGGCCGCAACCCCTAAAATGACAATGCCAGTGACTCGTGACCCCCAATATCCTCTGAGGTGGTTATAAATACAGAAACCTTGCATGCAATGGCGCACACACACCAATGGACCCAAGTCTATTCTTCTTTTAATTTTTTTTTTTTATGTATGAGAGCTGTAAATAGGCCACAAAGTTTAACCAGGTGTTATGAAATCTGCTGCATCTGACACTATTGCTGTGTCTTTCATACAATGCAATTACCCCAGGGGTTGCAATCCAATAGAAGTAGTAACTATAAGCTACTATAGTAACTATATATGGTATAAACGACTATTTTTTTCTCTTCAGAAGGTTATGGATAAAATATGTTAATTCTTATGGTTTAAAAAAAAAAAAATAGATTTTTGGAAACCACCAGGCGACCCCCCTTCATTGTCCCGCGACCCCTCGGGGGGTCCCGACCCCCACTTTGAGAACCATTGCTGTAGACAAGAGACCAGCTGCAGTCAATCATATCACATGCTTCTCTTGAAATTAGTTTGCGAAATGTCACCGAGACAATGCAAGGCACACATTACAAAGTTCTGGCTGTGGAGGAAAGGAAGTCAGGTACTTGACTAGACTGCAGCCCCGACCAGTCTCCAATAGAGAATGTATGGCACATTTTGATGCACAAAATGCAACAATGAAGACCCTGTACTGTTGTCTACCTTAAAACTTATTTGCAAAAAGAATGGGACAAAATTACTCCCGAAACACTTAATCACTTGATGTTTTCACTCCCTAAATGTATTTTAAGTGATGTGAAAAGAATTGGCAACATAAGAACATAAGAGAGTGGTAAATGCTTTACTGTTCCAACTTTTTTTTAAATGTGTTGCAAGAACCAAAATCGGAATGTGTTTATTATGAAAAAAATTAAATACATAAAAAATTACAAGGAACACATTAAATCATGTTTGTTGTACTGTTTGCAATAAAATAAAATTCAAAACAAATTCAGAAATCACTATATATATATATATATATATTTTTTTTTTTGCGTATTCCATACCATTCAAACTTTTTTCTGATTTGGGGTTGTATTAGCAATACAATTGTATAGGTAGTCTTAGTATAAATTATAGTAACATACTTGCTGTATAATAATTTCAGCGTTTCCACTTTCTGTGATGTTTAAAACTGATTCAAATCTCGCATGAATTCCAACAACCTTGACTAAAAAAATAAAACACACACAACCCACCCACACACACTTGATTAATTTATTTGGAATGAATACTAACTAAAGCAACACAGCATCCAAATAAGACATGCTAAACAACTTAAACATTACTAAAAACAATCATTGACCAAACAAGTTAAAACGCAATAGCGAGTATAAAAGAACATAATAAAAACATGATAAAAAAAAAAATGGTTAAGTAAAAGCCTGCTTAAAAAGATGGGTCTTTAGACGTGATTTAAAATTGTGAAGACTATTACTGCTCCTAAGATCTACTGGAAGTGAGTTCCATAGCCTAGGAGCCATAGAGCTAAAAGATCTGTCTCCCATTTTGCTCAGTCGAGTGCGAGGTGGTGCCAGAGTGAAGTTGTTAGCTGACCTAAGGGTACGAGAAGGGGTGTAGATATGGAGAAGTTCAGTGAGATATTGAGGAGCGAGATTATGAAGTGCCTTGAAAGTTAGAAGTAATATTTTAAAATCAATTTGATACTTTACTGGAAGCCAATGAAGCTGATAGAGGAGTGGTGTGACGTGCTCGTGAGATGGGGTCCTAGAGATGACACGAGCTGCATGGTTCTGAACCAGTTGGAGTTTATGGAGAAGTTTGGAAGGAAGTCCAGAAAGAAGTGCATTACAGTAGTCAAGACGTGAAGTAACTAATGCGTGGATAAGAATGGCTGTGTTATTAGTTGTGAGAGAAGGGCGGAGACGAGTGATATTACGCAGGTGGAAATATGCAGTACGTGTAATATTATTAATGTGACCTTCAAATGAGAGTGTGCTATCCAAGATGACACCCAAACTCTTTACCTGCATGTAGGGAAAAATTGTACTGTTATCAATGTCTATAGTGAAATGATCAGCTTTATCCAAAACACTTTTAGTGCCGATGAGAAGGGCTTCAGTTTTGTCGCTGTTTAATTTTAAAAAGTTAGCTGAAAGCCAGATTTTTATTTCAGCTAAACATCTGCTCAAAGCAGGAGGAGGAAAAGAACAGGAGGGCTTGGTGGACAGGTAGAGTTGAGTGTCGTCAGCATAACAGTGAAATTGTATGTTGTATTTTCTGAAAATGTGACCAAGAGGCAGCAGATATATGATAAACAGGAGTGGACCCAGTACAGAACCCTGTGGGACACCAGTAGTGACAATCTGAGATCTTGACTTAAAATCTTTAATTTGAACAAACTGAGTACGATCTTCAAGATATGACTTCAACCATAAAAGAGGGGTGCCAGAGATCCCTAGTGAGGCAAGCCTATTCAAAAGAACCTTGTGCGAAACCGTGTCAAAGGCTGCACTCAAGTCCAGGAGTATAAGAATTGACAGTAAACCAGAGTCTGCTGCCAGTAGTAGATCATTAGTGATCCTGACAAGAGCAGTCTCAGTACTGTGGTTGGGACGAAAACCAGACTGGAAGAGCTCAAACAAATTGTTATTAGCAAGATATTTATGGAGTTGAGACGCAACACATTTTTCCAGTATTTTTGAGACAAATGGCAAATTGGAAATTGGTCTATAGTTGGCCAAATTGGATGAATCAGCTCCAGGTTTTTTTAGTACTGGGGTGATTACAGCAGTTTTAAGTAAAGAGGGGACAGATCCAGAATCCAGTGGTTTGTGAATAATGTTAGTAATCAGTGTGGACAATGATGGAAGACAGGTCTTAACTAAGCATGTAGGAAGTGGATCAAGCAGGCAGTTGGTAGTTTTAGATTTCTGTATATGACCAACTATTTCAGCGGTAGATGGTAAGGTAAAAGTATCAAAAGAGAAATGTGTGATGATTTCAGAAACATTTTGGCTGAAGTCAGGGGCTGAAATATTTGTATGTAATTGATAATGAATGTCCTTAATTTTTGTTTAAAAAAAAGACAGGAAGCTGTTACATAACTCAGTTGAAGAAGAAAGTGATGTGTCAGGAAAACTTAATGATTTTTTAACTACAGAAAAGAGTAATCTAGAGTTACCCTGAATAGATTCTATTCTGTTAGCATAATAGTCAGATTTTGCTTTAAGTAATGCTTCCTTATAATGATGAGCATGTTCTGTAAACATTTCTTTGTGGACAGTTAACCCAGACTTCTTATACAACCGTTCCAACCTGCGACCTTTAGTTTTGAGTTGATGCAGATCAGAAGTAAACCAAGGAGCAGAAACAGAAAAAGAGACAGTCCGGGTTTGTAAAGGTGCAAAAGTGTCCAAAATTTCAGATAGTCCATTATTGTAAATAGACACCAGAGCATCAGCAGAAGATGAGTCCACATTGTATGCAAAACTATTAAGTACATCTGAAAAATGTAATAAATCAATGTTCTTAACGTTTCTAAATTTGATTGTCCGGGGTTACTGCAATTTAAAAACTGCAAGCTGAGCACAAAAAGACACTAAGAAGTGGTCAGATATAAGAAGATCAGAAACAGTACATTTGTTAGGGATTATTCCAGAGCAACAGATGAGATCAAGGGTATGGCCTTTAGTGTGTGTAGGGAAATTAGCAAATTGCTGCATTCCAAAGCTGTCCAAGCAAGATAAAAAGTCGATTGTATTAATATTGTTGCCAGCATCAATATGAATATTAAAATCACCCAGCATAATAACATTAAGAGACAAGGAGCACAGCTCAGTTAAAAACTCAGAAAGTTCAGTTAAAAAGCTTGAACTGCTTTTAGGAGGACGGTATATTGCAGCAAGAATAGTCGGAACTGCCCCATTAATTTTAATGATGACTGACTCAAAAGAGGGGTATTCAGACACAGTTACTTGAGATACCTTCCATTTCTCCTTATAGAGTATCGCCACGCCCCCTCCCCGTCCAGTAGTGCAGGGTTTACAAATGTATTTGTATCCTGGTAAAACAGCTTGGTTAAAATAATAGAAATCATCATGTCTTTGCCAAGTTTCAGTAAGACAGAGGAAATCAAACTTATGGTCAGACAGTACGTCTTGCAGCAGATGACTTCTATTAGATAACGAGCGAATGTTGAGTAGTCCAAAAGATAGATTGTTTTTGCATGCTTCGTTGGAAGCGGAGTTTGCTGGGTATGTGAGTACATTACGGTCAATGGATCGTACTGACTTTAATGCCTGGCGAGGGTTGGACGACCAGAAAGACCGTATTTGGGATGAGTTGTCAATGTTGTAGGACCGTCTTGATCCTCGGTGAATATATCTCCGACGTGGCCGGACCGCGATGTCCGGATGAAAGCGCAGCGTTGACGGAGTCTCTGAGAAGTGGGAGCGGAGTTGAAGAAGTTCCTCTGCCGAATACTGGAGTAGTAGCTCCGCAGTGCGATATACAGCAGCGAGGAAGATCCAGAGTGTTATGACCCGAACAAGCAGGTCAGGAGCTTTCATTGTCGTTTCGTCTCTTCTCCGGGTTTGAGTTGAGTGACAGCTGCTGTGACAGGACTGTCACAAAGTCACGATAAGCACCATAAAGCAGACTGGTGCCGTGGAAAGTGCAGAGGTTTAGCATAAAGTGCTATGCGTTATACAGTAGATGTACTGTCAACTGTGTAGTCCAGACAGAAGTTCTTTAAAAAGTTCTTTAAAAATATTCTCCGTGGGTAGCGGCAGCTAACAGCGCCAGCGTGCACCCTAACCGGAAGCTCCCTGCAGCATTGCTTGTTGGTGTTGTAGTTGTTGTTGGATTGGTTGATGGTGTTGTAGTTGTTGAATTGCTTGTTGGTGTTGTAGTTGTTGTTGGATTGGTTGATGGTGTTGTAGTAGGTGTTGTATTTATTGTTGTAGGTGCTGTAGTATTTATTGTAAAATATTGTAAAATATTGTAAATTGTTGTAGTATTTGCTGTTGTAGGTGCTGCAGTAGTAATTGTAGTAGGCGTTGTTGTAGTATTTGCTGTTGTAGGTGCTGTAGTAGTAATTGTAGTAGGCGTTGTAATTATTGTTGTAGGTGTTGTAGTAGTAATTGTAGTAGGTGTTGTAGTATTTGCTGTTGTAGGTGTTGTAGTAGTAATTGTAGCAGGTGTTGTAATTATTGTTGTAGGTGTTGTAGTAGTAATTGTAGTAGGTGTTGTAGTAATTGTAGTAGGTGTTGTAGTAGTAATTGTAGCAGGTGTTGTAATTATTGTTGTAGGTGCTGTAGTAGTAATTGTAGTAGGTGTTGTAGTATTTGCTGTTGTAGGTGCTGTAGTAGTAATTGTAGCAGGTGTTGTAATTATTGTTGTAGGTGTTGTAGTAGTAATTATTGTAGGTGTTGTAGTATTTGCTGTTGTAGGTGCTGTAGTAGTAATTGTAGTAGGCGTTGTTGTAGTATTTGCTGTTGTAGGTGTTGTAGTAGTAATTGTAGCAGGTGTTGTAATTATTGTTGTAGGTGTTGTAGTAGTAATTATTGTAGGTGTTGTAGTATTTGCTGTTGTAGGTGCTGTAGTAGTAATTGTAGCAGGTGTTGTAATTATTGTTGTAGGTGCTGTAGTAGTAATTGTAGTAGGTGTTGTAGTATTTGCTGTTGTAGGTGCTGTAGTAGTAATTGTAGCAGGTGTTGTAATTATTGTTGTAGGTGCTGTAGTAGTAATTGTAGCAGGTGTTGTAATTATTGTTGTAGGTGCTGTAGTAGTAATTGTAGCAGGTGTTGTAATTATTGTTGTAGGTGCTGTAGTAGTAATTGTAGCAGGTGTTGTAGTATTTGCTGTTGTAGGTGCTGTAGTAGTAATTGTAGCAGGTGTTGTAATTATTGTTGTAGGTGCTGTAGTAGTAATTATTGTAGGTGTTGTAGTATTTGCTGTTGTAGGTGCAGTAGTAGTAATTGTAGTAGGCGTTGTTGTAGTATTTGCTGTTGTAGGTGTTGTAGTAGTAATTGTAGCAGGTGTTGTAATTATTGTTGTAGGTGTTGTAGTAGTAATTATTGTAGGTGTTGTAGTATTTGCTGTTGTAGGTGCTGTAGTAGTAATTGTAGCAGGTGTTGTATTTATTGTTGTAGGTGTTGTAGTAGTAATTATTGTAGGTGTTGTAGTATTTGCTGTTGTAGGTGCTGTAGTAGTAATTGTAGCAGGTGTTGTAATTGTTGTAGGTGTTGTTGTAGTAATTGTAGTAGGAGTTGTAATTATTGTTGTCGGTGCTGTAGTAGTAATTGTAGTAGGTGTTGTTGTAGTATTTGCTGTTGTAGGCACTGTAGTAGTTATTGCAGTAGCTGTTGTTGTAGTATTTGCCGTAGTTGTTATTGTAGTAGGTTTTGTTGTAGTAACTGCTGTGGTAGGTGTTGCAGTAGTTGTAGTTCCTGTTAAAGAAAACAAACCCCTAATTGTAAATCACATTTTGCAATGTACATAAACTCTGCTGAAAACAATCCACCACATGCCTTCTTTTTTAATAATTAGGCTGGCTTGTCAAAGCCAGACTACTGATATGCTATATAAACTTATTATTCTTCTTCTTCTGAGACTAAAAAACAAAACGCATCTCCTCCTAGAGCTTTCAAGCTATTACCACCAAACTCACACCAGACCTCCAAACTATTCTGACTCGGGTTGCTATATCTCCTCAGACTGATCCGACTTTCGGTTTTCCGAAAAACGTCCCGGAACTGTCGGAAAAATCCCATAGACTTAACATTGGACCAAACTTTGTGACCTCGTAACTCTGCGTCAGACTGTCGCACAGACTTCTAACTGGGCTCATTTAACTCAGACTATCAAACTGCCAATGACTGATCACCTTTAAACTTTCTAGCCACACCCTAGCAACCACTTTTGGACCCTAGAAACTGTCCCATAGACTTCCATTCAAAAGACTCTCATTGACTTAACATGGGATCAAACTTTGTGAGCTCATAACTCTGAATCAGACTGTCCTACAGACTAATGGCTGAGGTCATTTAACTCAGACTACCAAACTACCAATAACTGATGAGCTTTAAACTTTCTAGCCACACCCCTAACTACCACATACTGCACCCTAGCAACTGTCCCATAGACTTCCATTACAAAGACTCTCATTGACTTTACATGGGATCAAACTTTGTGAGCTCATAACTCTCCATCAGACTGTCTTACAGACTAATGGCTGAGCTCATTTAACTCAGTCTAGCCAGCAGCCAATCACTGATGGCCTTTTAACTTTCTAGCCACACCCCTAACTACCACATACTGCACCCTAGCAACTGTCCCGTAAACTTCTTTTCAAAAAACTCTTATTGACTTAACATGGGATCAAACTTTGTGAGCTCATAACTCTGCATCAGACTGTCCTACAGACTAATGGCTGAGCTCATTTAACTCAGACTACCAAACTGCCAATAACTGATGAGCTTTTAACTTTCTAGCCACACCCCTAACTACCACATACTGCACCCTAGCAGCTGTCCCGTAGACTTCCATTACAAAAGACTCTCATTGACTTAACATGGGATCAAACTTTGTGAGCTCATAACTCTGCATCAGACTGTCCTACAGACTAATGGCTGAGCTCATTTAACTCAGTCTAGCCAGCAGCCAATCACTGATGGCCTTTTAACTTTCTAGCCACACCCCTAACTACCACATACTGCACCCTAGCAACTGGCCTATAGACTGTAATTAGCTGTGCTATAAAATGCTTATAATTCTAACATACTAATGACATGCCAATCATGCTAGCAACATGCTACTCATATGCTAATCATGCTAATGACATGCTAACTCATACTGGAAACATGCTAATGACATGCTAATTTGTATAAGAATCATGCTAGTAACATGCTGTTCATATTCATCATATTCATATCTTTGCTTAGCAGTGTCCTATTGACTTGGGGGATGGCTCATCTGACTCAGACAACCAATGAGCACGTCAATATGATAATGAAGCTCACAAGCCACGCCCCCAAATTGATTCCATAGACTTCCATTAAAATAGGCCAAGATGCATATCTTTGCATAGCAGTGTCATAGAGACATGGGGGTTGGTTCATTTGACTTAGACAGCCAACCACATTCAAGTGCACTCTGTAACCTCGCCCATAGCAACAAAACAGAGTACCCTAGCAACCATTCATCAACAGCTATATCTCAGCATCAGAACATCGTAGAGACTTGGAGATTGGCTCGTTTGACTCATGCTAGCCAACGGAACTTCTTAAATGCTACACATGCTAGCAGTGATTAGCTACATGCTAATATTGACTAGCCAAGTACTGTAACTTGCTAGAAATGCTTACTAAGTATAAATGTTTTATCAAGCATGTATGTGAGGTTTGCCTAGTAACCAACCAGGGTACCCTAGCAACTGCCCAGCAACCACCCAAATTACCCTAGCAACCGCCTAGCAACCACCTAGCAACGGCCTAGTAATGCCTTAGTAAGGGCCTAGCGACCACTCAGGACACCCTAGCAACCGCCTAGCAACGCCTTAGCAACCACTCAGAATACCTTAGCAACCACCTAGCAACACCTTAGCAACCACCCAGCAACCGCTTGGGACACCTTAGCAACCGCCTAGCAACACCTTAGCAACCACCTAGCAACCACACATAACACCCTAGCAACTGCCTAGCAACGCCTTAGCAACCACCTAGCAACCACTCAGGACACCCTAGCAACCACCTAGCAACACCTTAGCAACCACCTAGCAACCACTCAGGACACCCTAGCAACCACCTAGCAACGCCTTAGCAACCACTCAGAACACCCTAGCAACCATCTAGCAACCACTTAGGATACCTTAGCAACCACCTAGCAACACCTAAGCAACCACCTAGCAACCACTCAAAACACCCTAGCAACCGTCTAGCAACACCTTAGCAACCACCTAGCAACACCTTAGCACATGCTAATTCATGCTAGAATCATGCTAACAACATGCTAACTTCATGCTAGAATAATGCTAATTCATGCTAAAATCATGCTAGTAACATGCTAATTCATGCTAGAATCATGCTAGTAACATGCTAATTCATACTGGAATCATGCTAGTAACATGCTAATTCATGCTAGAATCATGCTAATAACATGCTAATTCATACTAGAATCATGGTAGTAACATGCCAGTTCATCCTAGAATCATGCTAGTAACATGCTAATTTATGGTAGAATCATGCTAGTAACATGCTAACTCATGTTAGAATCATGCTAATAACATGCTAACTCATACTAGAATCATGCTAATAACATGCTAATTCATACTAGAATCATGCTAATTCATACTAGAATCATGCTAGTAACATGCTAATTCATGCTAGAATCATGCTAGTAACATGCTTATTCATGCTAGAATCATGCTAATAACATGCTAATTTATACTAGAATCATGCTAGTAACATGCTAATTCATACTAGACTCATGCTAGTGACATGCTAATTCATACAAGAATCATGCTAATAACATGCTACTTCATGCTAGAAAAACACTAGTAACATGCTAATTTTACTACAATCATGCTTATAACACAGTAATTCATGCTAGAATTATGCTAGTAACATGCTAAATCATGCTAGAATCATGCTAATAACATGCTAATCCATGCTAGAATCGTACTAATAAGATGCTAATTCATGCTAATAACTTGCTAATCTATGCTAGAATCATGCTAATAACATGCTACTTATACTTTTTCAAACTGTTTTTAAACTAAATAAACTATTACCAACAGGCTTTGTCAAGCCAGCCTCAAAGTTTGTCTCGACGAACTTTACTGTCTAGTTATATATATTGTTTTTTTTCTCAACATTAAAACAAGACATCTAAACATTACAATAAAATGAAATGATTCCAGTATAACATACAAAACTAAATAATAATGAGGGTTCAAGTTCATAATCCGATTCCTGTATTAAAACTGTAGCTTGCACTGATCGAATAACGTCCTATGCTTCAGGAACAGATTTAAAACTGTGGTGCCGATTGGCATGTGTGACACTACATGCCTTCTGACTGGCATCTCTCTTTTTTTTCAAGTAAAAGGCATTATAAGGCATATTATAATTGTGAAAATGTTCACCTTCTTGTGTAAATGTGAAGTACTATTGGCACTCACATATTTCATACATACAGTTGAAGTCAGGATTATTAGTGCCCTTTGGAATCATTTTTTCCTTTTTAAATGTTTCCCAAAATATGATTAACAGAACAAGGAAATTTTCACACTATGTTGGATAATATTTTTTCTTCTGGAGAAAGTCGTGTTTATTTTATTTTGGCTAAAATAAAAGCATTAAAAAAAAAAAAAAAAACATTTTATGGTCAAAACTATTAGCCTCTGCGCTATATGTTTTTTGATAGTCTACAGAACAAACCATAATTATACAATAACTTGCCTAATTACCCTAACCTGCCTAGTTAACCTAATTAACCTAGTTAAGCCTTTAAATGTCACTATAAGCTGTATAGAAGTGTCTTGAAAAATATTAAGTGAAATATTATTTTACTGTCATCATGGCAAAGATAAAAGTTATTTTATTAGATTAACTCAGTTATTAGAAATGAGTTATTAAAACTATTATGTTTAGAAATGTTGAAAAAAATCTTCACCCTGTTAAAAAGAAATTTGGGATTATATGTATATATTATAGGTGGACATAGATATTTATATTTTTTAATGTAGATTAATCTCACTGTAACCTTGGAATTAATCTAGATTAAAATGGCTCATCTGAATTCTGCCAAAGGCATTTAGAATATGTGTTTTACTAAAATAATGACTAAAAGTAGGTTTTTGAGAATGGATTTCTCAAGCCAGTTGGCGCATTAGTATGAGGTGCCGTATAGGATTTAAATCAAACTTTGCTTATCAACACATACATAAAACACGTGTATATACACCTATAAATTACTCGCATATACACCTATACTACTGGATGTTCAAAACAACATGGATGAAACTTGTGTATATACATATAAACTTGACGCATGAATACACCCAAATACACACGCACATACATATAAACTCGATCCTCACATAAACACTCACATTAACACATACACATACATATAACATACATATAAACTTGCTGCATGCAAACACACCTATACACACTCGCATATACATATAAACTTGATCTATGCATATACACCCATGAACTCTCACATAAGAATATAAACTTGATGTGTGCATAAACACCCAAATGACACTTGTGCAAACATACAAAATAAAATTCACAAACATATATACAGTTAGTTGTGTATATACATATATGCAAGTGATTTCATATGTGTGTATGCATGAATTTTCACAGTAAAAGGAAGTTATTTCACTTTAAAAGGAAGTCGTTTAATTTCAACGTAAAAGTCCTTTGAGTGTAATGAACAAGATTATTATTTGTCATGAATCAGGTTATTGCAAACCTTAAGAAACAGAAATAATGTGATTAATAGAGGAATTACATCTGTTGAATTATGAAAATAGATTATGCTAATTCTAAAAAATAAATAAATCAAAAGGTAATGCAAAGGAATGCTCCTGCAAAATTAAAGGTTTATTATGCAAATAAATTATCGGAAATGTTATTATGGTTTAATAAATATAAAGTTGCTTAAGTAATCATTTTGAATAAAATATGTTTGTCTAATATTAGTTTATGTTTGTTTTATTATTGGTGTCACTATTCGTCAAGGGTTATGATACACAATTATGTCCAGTAGGGGGCAGGAATGCACTTAAGTGGGTTTTCCTGTCACCAATAAACAGGCTAATGCACCAAAATGCTGGATGCCAGCTGCTGTAAAAATATAAGTAGTAGCTATTAAACACAAAAGGAGTGTCCAGATAATATATATAGCTTTTCCATGGGGGTTAACTTGACCAACATGATGAGCAGAGACTTTTAATCAGCGTTTTTTTTTTTTTTTTTTTTGGATATGCTGAATAATTAACAAATCAAAATGATACCAAAATCTTACAATTTTGACACCCACATTGTAAAAACATATAAAAAGCATAATAATTATAAAAATGTAAAAAACAAAACAAGAAGACTATAGGCTACATTAACATTTGCAATAGAAAAGAAGAGTTTAGTTTGAGTATACATTTATATTTATAATTCTGGTTGCTTTTTGAACGTCCTTTAAGGGTTCTATCTGTCCATTTATATTTGTGTATGTAATTACCTAATTAAATTAAAAGGTTTTAAATAAAAATATTTCTTATTTTGAATAGTCTATTTATATAGACTAATATTTTATATAACATATGGTCATAATTTAACATATTTAATCCCTCTATTAATCACATTATTTCTATTTCATAAGCTTTGCAATAACCAGATTCGTGATAAATGTTTGTGAATTTTATTTATTATTTTTTTTTGTATGTTTGCACGAGATGTTATAGGTGTGTTTGCATGCAGTGAGTTTGTGTATGTGCGCGTGTTGTTGAAGGTGTATATGCATAGACCGAGTTTATATGTATATGCGAGTATGTGTGTTTGCATGCTGCGAGTTTATATGTATGTACATGTAAATGTAGGTATTTATGCGAGAATCGAGTTTATATGTATATGTGAGTGTGTATAGGTGAGTTTGCATGCAGCAAGTTTATATGTATGCGCGTGTGTTAATGTGAGTGTTTATGTGAGGATCGAGTTCATATGTATGTGCGTGTGTATTTGGGTGTATTCATGCGTCAAGTTTATATGTATATACACAAGTTTCATCCATGTTGTTTTGAACATCCAGTAGTATAGGTGTATATGCGAGTAATTTATAGGTGTATATTCACGTGTTTTATGTATGTGTTGATAAGCAAAGTTTGATTTAAATCCTATACGGCACCTCATACATTAGACCAGGGGTTTATCTCCTGTTTCCAAAATGCATCACAAACTGCTTGAGAAACTGTTCTACTATGATAATTGGTGATGAAAATAAATGTACTTGTGTTTACTAACTGTTTATTCAGTTAAAAATGAATTTTGAACTGTAGGCCTAAACATTTGGCATGTGTTATTAAATTACATAACACTCTCACCAGTTCTTACTCCTTATTTGCGTCTAATACCCCAGTTTGTCACGGGGGCATGAATGAAATGTTCATATGTAAAGGTGAAACTGCCAAACTGCAGTTAAAGTCACCCAAAATTACAGGAAACTCTTACATGAAAGCACTTCACATAAACACCTTAATTATTGCCTATTAAATTGCACGATAAGAGTCCTACGCCAATAACGGCCCACCACTATATATATATATATATATATATATATATATATATATATATATATATATATATATATATATATATATATGGTTGAAGTCAGAATTATTAGCCCCCCTGTTTATTTTTTCCCCAAATTTATCTTTAAACATTTCCTTGCTCTGTTAAACATAATTTGGGAAATATAAAAAAAAAGAAAAAAAAAATCAAAAGGGGGCTAATAATTCTGACTTCAACTGTATATATGTAATATATATATTAAGGGTGTAATGATAGGCGTATTTGTATTGAACCGTTCGGTACGAGACTCAGTTCAGTATGCATTTGCCACTGAATCTACTCATTTTAAGCACAAGATGTTCTAACATTATTTAATCCTTCATTTATTCGTCATGATTCTGTCAATCGTGCGACTGACACCAGGTTCACAATCGCTAAAAAGCATGCATTCACTGAGATAAAAAAGTTTAAAAGATGCTTGCTCAGCTGTTTAACTGTCAGCTTATAATTTGAATCTGTAAGAGAGTAGTTCCTCATACGAAAGGGTTTTTGAGACTCTCCATGTTTGATTTTGTTTTTATATACACAATTATGCTGTCAAACTGTTGTATAAACACAATATCACACTCGTAGCAGTGTGATATGGCTGTATATCAGCAGTGGTGGGGGCATTAAGGCACTCGGCCGGCCTCGTGCCAACGCACGCCTCCCACCAGTGCCAATATACAGCTATATCGCACTGCTACTCATATGATATTGCTCATATATATAGCCACACACCTGTCTATATGTTTATATAAGACTTTACAGCTCACGATGCATGTTAGAGCAAATGAGAATAATGACGTCAAAGGAACTGAAGAGCTCAGTAGCATGTTCAAAACATTAAATCAGATAAGAGGAACCGAAAACCAATATGATGTTTAAGACATCACAGGGAAGATAGCATTTAAAGACTTAAAAGCACAAACTTAAAATGTACAAAATAGTCACAGACAAATTAAACTTTAGTGCCAAAGCAGCACTGTCCTAATCAGGCCAGTAATGATTCGATTAGGATCCCAAGCATCTCTCATGCTGGCCCTGGGCAGCAGGGCAGTCCTTATTGTTGAGCACTGATGGCGACGCAGTGGTGCATTAGGTAGTGCTGCCACCTCACAGCAGGAATATTGCTGGTTCGAGCCTCAGCTGAGTCAGTTGGCGTTTCTGTGTGAAGTTTGCATGTTCTCCCCGCGTTTGTGTGGGTTTCCCCTACAGTCCAAAGACATGCGGTACAGGTGAATTGGGTAGGCTAAATTTGTTCGTAGTGTATCAGAGTGTACGGATGTTTCCCAGTGATGGGTTACAGTTGGAAGGGCATCGCTGCGTAAAACATGTGCTGGATAAGTTGGCAGTTCATTCCGCTGGGGTGACCCGGATTAATAAAGAGACTAAGCCGAAAAGGAATGAATGAATGAATAAGTATCTTGGCAGACAAGATAATTACATCAAATACTTTTGAAGGAGAGGACTGGAATACTGCAAATAGGAATATGTCCAAACATACATTTATGATTTTTCTTAAAAACCTGAACAGCTGCTGCGCTCGTGCATCAAGGTTAATCATGAACAGCTCAGTGCGCATGCGCTAGTTGCACTATCGCGGTCTGATTATGTTTCAATCAAGGTTTATATCCATCAAATACATAACATCTGTGCCAAACATCTCAACTGACGAACATATTAACAATAATACAACCGTATAGCTGAATTAAATGTATGCATTGGCATGTTACAGCCCTAATGAGTATGATTATGTGAAACTCCATATAGATACATATTGCAATGATTTCGGGTACTTACTTAGCGATGCACGCACACATATATGCACAGCCTTAAATGCTCTGCTGACGTGGACTCTGTAATACCTGTTTAATAACTTTAAACTATCAACAACTTTAAACTTTTTAAATCTGGAGCTATCATATGATTGTGTAAATTACCGTAAATGGAAATCAATTGATCACCAATAATTTTCTGCTTTTATTGAAAGTGCCATAAGTGGGATATTACTTTAGCGTCCTGAAGTAAAGTGCTGGCCTCACGCATCACGCACCTGTCAGTCAGTCAAGTACTTAACCTTAAAGTGTTAAATCGATAACGCACAGCACTACTACAGTTACAGTAAAGATTGCGCTGTTATAATTCACTTACCTTTTAATATGTTTTGGTGCGATTATCACCCGCTATTAAACAAAAATAAAAAAATAATAAAAAATAGACTGAATGTTTTGAATGAAAAGCTGTAGTGTAGCCATGGCGGGATCAATTTTGGCATGGCACCCCACCATGGAAGAATGAATGTAGCGGAAACCATGCATTTGCAACATGTTCTGCTCTGCTGGGCTAGTGATGATTAAAACTGAGTGGATCCTTGTTTCTTTAACCAGGTCAAACTATGAAGGAAATCTGTAGTGTGGGATGGCATCAATTCAGAAGTTCATAATTACCTGGCAGTGTTGTAGATACTGGAGATGTTGTAGAAGTTATTGTAGTAGGTGTTGTTGTAGTTATGGCAGTAGTTGTTGTAGGTGTTGCAGTAGTTGTTGTTACTGTTGAAGAAAACACCTTGAATTGTGAATCAGTTTTTGCAGTTATAAATAAAAGTCAGAAACTCTGCTGGAAACAATCCACTACATGCCTTCTGACTGGAAGCTCTTTGTTTGCAAGTAAAAGGCATTTTATTATAACTGTAAACATGTTCACCTTCTTGTGTAACACATATTTCTACACATTTATCCTTGGGATAAGTAAGAAAATAGGTTGTGCATCAAATGTAATTAAGAATATTCTCATAAGTCAATATACTGCCATGACTAACCAATCAGGGGTTCGTTTCTGAAAACCGCCATTAGCCAACTAAAGCAGGTCGCACACCAGAAGCGCAGCTCGCGGCATAGAAACATAGGTTTCTATCAGGGTACACACACCGGCGGCGCAAGTCGTCGACTGTCGGCGACGCCCGGCCACGACTCAGGACGCAGTTCATATTTAAGCCACACCACAGAACGCCATCTGATTAGTGTTATGTTAAATATCATGCAAATGTGTGCGTCTGGTGTGTGATACGTTAAACTGTCATGTGAGCGGCGCTTCTGGTGTGCGACCTGCTCAAGGTCGCAAGTTTCATCGTTACAAACATCGTTCATTAATTTAGTGTTTTCCAAATCTGTTGTTCCAGCGAACACTCGCAAACTGTTTTTACAAAATTTACAACCTAAACCTAAACATTTTATAAGATTTATATATGAGATCAGAGTGTTTCCTAAGTGGTTTTATGTTTTACCATAGAATATGGAATATTCTCAATAATATTTATAAAGGAAACACAGGCCCTATAAGTGCTGTTTACATAATTCAGCTAACATAGAAAACGAGTGCGTTTTTACCAAAACTAATATTGGATTTTTTTATAGTGTGTAGGCGTCCAGGAGGCATCCGAAACAGATGCCCAAGCCACCTCAGCTGACTTCTACTTTGCAGTAATACTGGCTAAGAAAAGTGTGACAACATTTTCTATAATAATTTAACTGACAGTAACCTGTGAGCTGTACTCATACCTGTAGGTGGTCCACTGTCCACCCTGAAGGCCCATCGGCCTCGAACATTAACATTACTGGAGGTGTTGAGGCTTGAGATTGAGCTTCCAATGTTTGATCCAGGAATTACAAAGTAGTTTGTGGAGCTTATTGTGTCAAAACCAGCCTGAAATGTACACACAAAAGTACACACAATATACCTGTGTACTGTTGTGACATGTTATGCTTGTTACAGTAAACACATTTCTTTTACCTCCACTGTACGTTCTGTTGCAGCAATATTTCCATAATTCATCAGAATAAATGAATAATTACTGCCTGAGATTAAAACCACTTGAAAAGATGTTTCCTAAAATAATGATAAAAGAATAAATAAATAATTTAGAAGACAGTTGCTAAAGTGTTCATTATGTATGAGCTCAAATTACTGTATTAATTAATTTAAAAAGACTTGTTACTCTGTCTTAAAATATTTTTGAATTGAATCATGCATAAAGTGAAAACATGAACACTTCAGAAGTGTGTTGATCTTACTGCTGTAGAGAGATGGTGAGGTACTTTATCCCACGTTGCAACAAAAACCCAAGATGCAGTGAAGTTCAGATTTGGGAAATAATTGTTGATATCCTGAGTGGCGCGAGTGAGAACACTTCCATTAGTGTATTGATTATAAGAGATGACTCCTCTTGCTCCGTTATTAAGGTCAGTCCAGAGTCCAGCAATAATATCTTGACTTCCATACGCTGGAAATGAGTAGGGAGTAAACACTGAAGAAGCCTGGCTAAATGTGAGGTATCCATTATTATTAACCTGAAACATGAGAAATACTGTTAAAATCACAACCAGAGTTTTTTATTTCCTTATCAGAACGGAATTCATGAAGGATCTAAAACCCTTATGCACACCATGAGAAAAAATAAAACTTCTTCTTAAATTCTTACATAAATCTGCTGGTATGTTCGTCCAAAGAACAGAAAGGGACTCAAAAGTGTAATAACCGAGGAGCTTCCATCATCAATAGCTGGGTTTATTGTGTCTCTTGCTGATGAACCGAATGGGTAGAAGATTCTTGATCCTGCTTAGGAAAAAAAGAGGGTGAAAAAATTATAAGAATAAAAATGAAGCTGGATGATGCTTGGGACAAAAATGCACTATTCAATAACAACTTGTCCATATGGATTTGCAGTTTGTGCAATGACTTTAATAGTAGCTAAAATGCTAACTGTTTTAAGAGTAACTATTTTCATTCTGGCAAGGCAGTGGCGCAGTAGGTAGTGCTGTCGCCTCACAGCAAGAAGGTCGCTGGGTTGCTGGTTCGAACTTCGGCTCAGTTGGCGTTTCTGTGTGGAGTTTGCATGTTCTCCCTGCCTTCGTGTGGGTTTCCTCTGGGTGCTCTGGTTTCCCCCACAGTCCAAAGACATGCGGTACAGGTGAATTGGGTAGGCTAAAGTGTCCGTAGTGTATAACTGTGGGTATGAATGTGTGTGTGGATGTTTCCCAGAGATGGGTTGCAGCTGGAAGGGCATCCGCTGTGTAAAAACTTGCTGGATAAGTTGGTGGTTCATTCCGCTGTGGCGACCCTGGATTAATAAAGGGACTAAGTCAACAAGAAAATGAATGAACTCAAAATTTACTGAAAGTTAATTCTACTCATTACTCACTACTCATTCTACTTGTTAATTAAACACCTCATTACTTCATCTTAAATGGAGTAATTTCACAGTACTCATATAGATTAGTTGTTGTTTTTTTAACTCAAATGGTTTGTAGCAATCGGTTTCCTCAAATGGTTTGAGTTGCCTTAATTTATTGGGTTTTACAGTTCTCAGATTGTTTGAGTTCTCTTCATTTATTGGGTTTTACTGAGCTCAAATTGATTTATTAACTCAAATGGATTAAGTTCACCGTACTCATAAGAAGTAGTTTTTGAACTCAAATGGTTTGTTGCAATCAGTTTCCTCGAATGGTTTGAGTTAACTTAACTTATTGGGTTTTACAGTTTAGCGAACATTGTTATTCTTTAAATGAAGAATAATTCATTCTTTACTTTTTTCGGCTTAGTCCCTTTATTAATCAGGGGTTGCCACAGCAGAATGAACTGCCAACTTATCCAGCAACCCATCACAGGGAAACATCCATACACTCATTCACAAACATACACTATGGACAATTACGCTTACCCAATTCAACTATAGCATATGTCTTTAGGGAGAAAGGGCAAGGTGAGCAATTAGTCTGTGCAAATTAATCCACATAAACACAAAGTTCATTTTGGTAATCTTCAATCAAAGTTATATTGGTAGATTTCTGCGAGAAAAGAATTATGTGCAAAAAGAAAGCCCCGGCTCCACTCAATATTCAGTTTCAGCTGAAAGTACAACAGCACACTCAAATAAACGTTTCAGTAACTTTCAGTTCACATGTTCAAGACACCACCTTATTCAGTACAAAGTATTACACAGACTTCACTATTCTATAACAAAGCCAAATAAATTCTATTTATCGGTTTCCCCCACATACGACAAATGTGGATACCTCAGCACATCTTTTTTGGTCCTTTGTTTAAATTCAGAATTTTTGGTTAGAAATATTTCAGTTCTTTGCTAAAGTTTACGAGTGTGTTTTACTCCCTGATCCAATGATAGCAATTTTTGGGTGGTCAGATTTTCTGGAGACTCTCAATGGAAATGTACGGTTACCTGTTCAATATGGCACGATCATAGCTAAAAACGTTATCCTTTGTTTTTGGAAGAAAAATGTTAGGCCTTTTTTTTCTGACTGGGTTCTTGGACTCACCTCCACTTTACATTTGAAAAGAATTAGATATACCACCTCTGGGAACTCTGCAAAATTTGATAAAATGTGGGATCCAGTCTTTTTTTTTTTTTTTTTAAACAACATAAAGACTAATAGGTGTTGTTTCATTTCTGAAGACTTATGAGTTTCTTTCTATCTCTTTATATCCATTGCCGTGTCTTTTTGTAGGTCATATATGTTCTGTATGTCACCTTTTTCTCTTGTTTCATGTTTTATTTTACATTGTGTACAGATTATCGTTTCATTATGGGTTTGTCTGTTTGTTCTTTTTTTTTGTCTGCAAAAATTATAATAAAAAATACCATTTAAAAAAACTAATAACTCAAACATCACAGTGTCATAAAAAAAGGCAACTTTCAGTTCATGCAGACTATAAGGTGTGTCTTTTGAAAATCATGACATAAACACATTCATGCGTGAAAAACCCTTTTGACCCCATTTGATTTTTAAAGGAGGCACCAACTGCCTGGAGCACATATGCATGATTTTATTTACATGCACATTGTAATTTTCAATGCTGAGGCAACAGGGAAACACATCCAATATGGCTTTTCACTATTGAAAGACAGACAAAAGAACGGCAAGAACGACAAAGGGGGGAGGGGGGTGTTGAAGGAGGACACAGCAACAGGCCAAATCATTTTCCAGAGCTTGGCTGACTACACATGAATTCAGCTGCAGCGAACTCGTGCCCATCTCGTCAAGGACAAAGCACAGTTTTCACATGCTTCTTGGGAGAAATCAGGTCACGGCTCTCCTCTTGCACAGAAATGAGTTCCTCTATCATCTTACACATCTGCTTGTCCTCTTATCTGATAATTGGAAGATGGATTAGTAATGCCGAGTCTCGACTAAAGACCTCCGTTTAGCCCGCCGTATGGAAAACGCCTCAAATCATTCAGCCTGTTGAGAAGAGGTGTGCTATCACTTTTATAAGTAATTAGACTTAATGATTGTGCCAGGCAAAAGATTAACAGAAAATCCCACAGACAGAGACAGGAAAATCCTAAAGGCTCAGGGCTTTCTGACTTGGCTATTAAGAAAGCACACATAGAACACGGCAGCAAGGTGAACGCTGCACTGCGATGATTTGCAGACTAACATTTACTACTGTAAGTACCATTTTAGAAACAGGTATATCAAAGCCCCGACAACTACAAAGAGAATCTCAGCAGCTGCACAGCAACACCCTGGAAACCATTCAGAAGACTTCAGCATCTGCATGACAACCACTCACAGAATCACATAGATATTACAAAAAAGCCTTATTTTATATCTTTCTCTTTGTGATTTTTTTTCACAGCACATTTTTCAACCGTTTGTTGTGTTTACTAATGCTATATAAATACAATTTACATTGACATTAA